ACTGTACGGTTTTGCTTGAGAGTCTGTGCAGGGGGATCGGCAGAGTCCACTTGGGCCAGGGAAGGGTTTAGTAGATTCCTTGGGAGTGAAGAGACTACTAGGAGAAGCACCTAAGGAGACTCCACTGGAAAGAGGCATAATATCAATTATTGATTTGTTCACCTACAGAATAATAAATAAATATATATGATTCTAGAGCTCATAAAAGTATGTTCCATATATAATGATATAACAAAATTTATATAGAGATTCAACGATGATATTTAGCTGCAGTTAACTAGGACTCGTGTAATTATTTATTGCAATGCAAGAACCTAATTAGACCTACAGTTATACTTTAATAAAATGTGTAAAAGTTCCCTTCAATTCCAAATTTGTCTTCATATTACACTAATTTTTCTATCAACATACAAAGTATTTGTGATAATTATACAAGATGGTCCAAATTTGACATGTTTATAAGATATTACTAAATTAGCAGGGGATAAAGCACATTTATGTCGCACCTTTTTTTAACTAAGCATGTTATTTTAAATCCAGTTATAAATTCCTTCCCTGAGTAAAATGCAAGAGTGATTTTTAAAATATCATTATTTTGTTTGGGTGTTCAAATAAAAAATGGTGTTACCTCGAAAATGTGTACCCCTTGAAAAAATAATAAGTACGACAATGGATTTTACATATGTAACTATGTCAAATTATTAAATTGTTTTTCAAAATAAGATTTTTATTTGAGATAATAAATTATGATAAATTTAGAAAATCACCCTATAGTTTCTAAAAAGGATTTATAACAACTAAGCATTCCATGTTTTGTTTCTCAAAAAAGGTGACAATGGTGGGTTATAAGGTTTCGATATCCAGTTGTATCATGTGAAAACGTCGAATTTTGACCACCATGTATAATAAAACAGCTAATTTTAAATAAAATAAATAAAATACTTTTTTACCAAAGAATGTAGCAGTGGAATCAAAGGAATTCAACGGGGACTCTATTTGATTATAAAAAAATGCTTTAATTTGAGCCCATCTCATCAAGTTGGAGATTAACCACGCCTCCTTCTTGTTTTTCACCCTTAAATAAATAAGGAAATAATTTAAATAAACAAAAATAATACCAAACGTTAGTTATTTCCAATTTTATTTTTTTTAACTTTAGTAGTTTGAAAAATCTTTAAAATGGGAAAAGACAGATATTGCTAAAATTGTATAAATAATAACACATACAAAAGAAGTTTTATATTGTATATAATATAAAAGTGATTTAATTTCTGTTTAAATTAAAATCCTATAAATCAATCTTTTAAAATATAAAATTTGTGTTAAATAACATTATAGGCTTTGCTTAGAAAATTAACTTTAAACATATTACTGCACAAATTTTTAATTTGATTTCAAATAAATTTTTTCTTTTATTACTAAGAAGGCACAATATTCTATGCTATATAGAAGGTAAGTATATTAAAGTTACTGTCCCAGGAGGGTTGGTGGATGTACAAATTTTATGAATTTGCAAATGTTATGTATTAAAACAATAAAAGTGTTCCTTTGAATAAAACAAATACGAACCTTGTCCTGTCTCTCCTTCTATTTGACCTCTTGTAAAGTTTAGTTTTCTTTTTGTTGTAAGTATCTCACTTTTAGATGTCCTTGTATCAGTTTTATATTTAATAAAAGCTAGTTATTCCTAATTAGTATTTTGGCCAATACAACTTCTTAGCCATGCAATAAAGAGATCTTCTATAATTACCTAAAATTTTAACCCCAAAAATGTAGTTGGAAATACAAATTAAGATGTAATAAAGTGAATGTTTTTGAAGGAATTTTATGTACTTGTTATTAATTTACTTACCAAGTGGTTTTTCTGCTATCTTTAGCAGTAAATTGCTTGCGATTTTTGTTGTCAAACATTATAATACTTCAACTAAACGAACTAAAATTGAACTTTTATAATATATATTCAAAGTACCTCTCGACACTCACATAAATTGGCTGGAAAATTGAAAATAATTGAAAAATTCTAAAATATTAATCCATAAACATTAATCTGTCAAAGTAAATGACGAGCAGAGCTCTGACAGAGGAAGCGCAGTTGCCAGTTCACGTCGTCGTTAAAAATTAACAGAAGAATGCAACCCGTACTACACCTTTAGTAAAAGATTTGGGTTTAACGAGTCATTAGATATTTAACGATCGTTGTTGCAACCCGCTATTGAACCATTAGGCATTCCAACGACCTGTCAAACAATAGGTGCCAGTGGGAAATTCTTGTATATCTAAGGGGGTAGCGACATAGTCTTGCAACTTGGACACTATTTTTATTCGAAGTAGTAGTCGCCAAGCCTGCCAATTAATGAAGAAATGTATAGGTGGATTTTTTTAAATATTATTTGTATTGTGTTTGTCATAAAATATTTAAATGTAATCCATTATTCATGATTTTACGTAAAGTAGATAGAATACACCGTATGTCGCCACCCTTAGATATACCAAACCTTCCCACTGGCAATTCATTTGTTTGGAATGCCTAATTCTTTAGATAAGGTAGTTATCAAATTCTAATTAACATAAGTTGTACTAAATTCAAATTTGAAACGATTTATTGAATATGCACTTATCTTTTGATAAGTTTGGTAATATACGGAATGTAAAACTAGGTTATCTCAAGGTATATCATCAGGCAACTTCCACCACGGGAATCGGGATCCTTATTCGTAATTCTGCATAATTCGACACCGTGAATGATCTTCAAGATATATGGTAAACATGAGAATGAACTTCAGTATTCAAACTTGAACTCGAAACTGTCTAGCGATGAGACCAAAACGTCTCGAGATAAATCCAAAACCTTGAGTTGGTACCAAAACCTTCTAGAGATTAAACCAAAAACCGTCTAGAGATGAATCCAAAAACCGTCTAGATATAGCCATGAGCTAAAAAAGGTATAAAATGTTATCATAGGAGAAAGGAAATATGAACAGGATTTAGATAAAATGATTTAACTATTAAATGAACAATTTAAAACTATTAAATGAATAATTTCACAGAGACTAAAATTAATATGAAAAGGAAAAATCTTATTTAATATATTTAAACATAGTAAAGCATAATATCTTATTCCAAAAAAATAATATATAATTTTATATCAAATTAACCATGTGCTATTATACATTGTTGATATTGAAGTTATGTTTAAAACTTGACAATTTATTTAAGAAATCCTTGTACAAAATATATATATATTTAATAATATATTAATATTAAAACTTACCTTATAAAATCAGACGGATTTTAAGGATTTTAAAATCATTTATTACATCGGATGATCAAGATAAATTAAAAAAAAAATACGTATGGCACTCGGGGACTGCCGCGGTAAAGCTATTGCATAGCATTTTTTATCAACTTATGCAATTATAATTATTTATTTTATTTATGCAGTATTTTTTTCTTTGATGTTAATTCAAGTTTTTTCTTTGATATTAATTCAAGTTACACTTTTTGAGCGTGGTGACCGATAAGAGAACATTTTTTTTCTTATATTGAATAAATGAGAAGTTAATATTTTTTAAAATATTTTTATTTTCTTACAATACATGTAGATTATTCAGGAATTTTTATCATTGAAACTATAGGTTTATGGTAACTGAAATAAGAAACATAAGTTTGAGACTTGATATCCTCTAAATATCTCGAAAATACCGCGTCAATGGTGGTCCCATATTTTGTTGTGGATTCTTGTGGATCATTATTCATTTTCAAATTCAATTTTTCAGAAATCGTGTCTAATAGAGATAGAATCAGTTATGAGCACTACACGCATACGTCTAATCGTACGCACATAAACACCGTGCTAAAATCTGCCGAACTGAAACGACGTTAGACGATGCAAGGCTTTCAACGCCGCACCGCTGTGCCGGTCGGAGTGGGGGTGTTAGGTTTATTTTCGTTACGGAATTTCTTTTTCGATTTTTGGATTTTTTTATTTTTCTATTTTTCAATTTTTCGATTTAACGAATTTTCGATTTAACGATTTTTTGATTTTTCGACTTATCGATTTTTGATTTTTCGATTTTTGTTAGTGAGTCGTAGGAAAAATATACTGTACAACTCCAGTGGGATCGAACTCACTCGTGGACGCGGCCAAAAGCACGCTGTCTCACCTAGCATTGGGTCTAAAAAAGATAGAATCAGTTATGAGCAGTTAGCAGCTAGTCTACACGCATACGTCTAGTTGCACGCACACAAACACCGTGCCGAAGTCTGCCGAACTGAAACGACGTTAGACAATGCAGACAATGGTTTAATTTTGCGGAATTTCTTGATTCGATCGCCGCGCTCAAAGCCCGCGATAAAAGCTATGCAATAGCTTAAAAATTAATATCTAATATTTACGCCAGCCGGGAACATTTGTGATACCAATTTATTAGAAGCCAGAGTTCTTGTATTGCATAAATGTTCCAGTCCGCAGACGTATATTTAACTCCGCTTCATACTAATACGAATAGGATCGGATAAAACGTTCTATGGCTATAACGCCGTACTGCCGCGCTGGTCGGAGTGGGGGGTGTTAGGTTTTTTCGTTACGGTGTTACAAAATTTCTTGATTCGGTCGCTACTCAAAGCCCGCGATAAAAGCTATGCAATAGCTTAATAAATGTGATCTATTTGATATATTCAAATCAAATGAAAAATTGAAACTTTTGACACAAGGCATAAACGACAAATGACATTTGAGTAAGAGGTGATTGTGTCGAAATAACGAATTAACGGTTCCAACCGTTACAAATTAAACTAAATTTAGATAAATTATTTATTTCAGAGTGAATTAATTCATCTAAGAAATTTCACTTCTATCGTGCCTTCAATAATGCATACTATTTTCATTACAGGGCATTTTATATAAAATCACGCAAATAAATAACCGAAAATTTTATATATTATATTGCTAGTATTGAAATCTTTTGGAGAAAATTGAAATTTTTATTGTTTTATTTCAGGGAGTCAATCCTACTGCTCAAAGAGCAGCAGTTATAGCAGCAATCGAATTGCCTGTCTACGATTTTTGTAAAAATCATTTGATGAACCTCCTTGGTGATAAAGCTACCAATCATTTTATGTAAGTACTTGTATTCTTCTTATACATATATGGCTATGGCAATGCAATCTCCTATTCTTCTAGTACTAATTCTCTAAATTAATGTTTGAAAATCTGATGAGATATTTTTAAAATAGTGAAATATGTTGAAAAATAGTTTAAACAAATATATACTAGATTTTTTAAAAAATTTGTATATACGAGGGGTGGTTATTAAATAAGATTGAAGCTACTATAAACGAACTACGCATGCGCTAAAGTCGTACGACCGACAACAATTATAGTGTCGTAAATTCCAAATATTATCCATATCTCAAAGTGGTCCGAAGTAGATTAAAGGAAAGTAAAAAGCTCAAAGTCTGTCGACCACATAAATTTATTAGGTTGCAAGCGCTTTCGACCTAAAAGGTCATCATCAGGCAAAAAAATTTTTGTGAGTAGGTACAATCTGCAATAATAATTTAAGGTATAACAAAACGTTTTTTATAGAAATGCTAGGTGTCTTACCACTATGTGTCCACAGAAAAATAAGTATGTTGAATTAAAATTTAAGTAAATTGTAAAAATTGTAAAAGACTGCCTCCCTCATTCGAGGTTGGATCCAGTTCTAGTTTGAATTTCGCCTGCCTCCATCTGATGAAGGTGGTTTCGAATGAAATAAATTTTGAAGTTCCACACGTGTGCTTAAGGCACCATGTGGAAAGTGTTACTTTTGGGAAATGTTAAATATAGCTACTCCCCCTATCTCCAGTACGAAAGGGATAGACGGAGTCCCGCTCGTGTACACCCTTAAGCCTAAGCTTAAGGGGTATCATTAAATAATAACTTTTTTAGAAAAAATTTTTTCACTTATGACACTTTCGTCATCCAACGGTGAAGTTAAATGAGAAAATAAACATAGCCTTTAAAAGTACCAACTCACTTTACTCACTTCTAGTACGGAATAAAGATCTTGTACCCACTTTCCATAAACCAGGGGTATATCTACTAAATTGTAATGATTGCAATGCCATCTACGTCGGCCAGTCAGGAAGAAAGACAGAAACCCGAATTTTAGAACATTACAAAACTATCAACAGATATAAATCCTCGAATATTTCAGATACCAATTCCACATTTGCTAATCATGTTCTCTATACTAAACATAACTTCACTTTTCCAGATAACGCCTCTCTTATTATCCAATGCCCCAAAGGCATTAAGCTGGACTTACTTGAAATGTATTACATTCATCAACATATTAATAACCCAGATGTGGTTTGTTTAAATGATCAATTACAACCTACATATAAGCCTATCTTTTCCAGATTAACCTTCTAGTATTTTCAATTCAACAACTACAATGAATCCCATCATCCTCACAAGTTTCCTAAATCCTTTGTAAATCCTTCAACTTTTAACTTGTAATAATATATATAATAGCCCCCTTTTTTAAAAAATTCATATTTATTATAAATTTCCTTAACCTCAATATAATGTCAAATTCTTCTTTTTTAAAAAATCAAATGTCACTCTCACTTCATAACACCAGCAGAGCTTATTTGTTGCTTCTCCAAAGTCTTGGACATCCTGTCAAGACACCAAATGGCCGTTTGCACCGACAAATTTAAGTGGAGCTTAGAGTTGATTTTAGGCGATCTACCAGTAATAAGTGGTACAAACCGAGACGTTTAGTCGGTTGATGGTCATTAAAATTTTTGCAGTGTGACGTCATGAATTAGCCCTTTATTACGTCACCGTTATGTCAAACTTCAACCGGAGATTACTCAGCTCCATACTTGGGTAGAGACTGTAGACAGAGAGTAGAGAGTGGTTAATTGAATGTCATATGACTTGTTTATTGTGTAAAGTACAGAGAAGTACGAAAATATAATTATTGTATTATTGTATCCATATCCATAGATATACATATTATAACTTCTATCAGAGAAAGTTGTTGTCTCTGCTTGTATACATTATTATTGTCAAATTCGGAGAGATTCCAAACGATGGCCGAGAAATATCAACTCAGTATTAATCTAGAAGGACAAGACATTCTAGTCGAGGTTGGAGACCTAGAAACTGCCAACCTTTTGTTAAATGGTAATTAAAGTATTTCTAGTTGTAGCAGCCTTTTGTTACTATGATTTTTTCAGATCACATTGCAGCTGTTAAATTTATTGAAGGTATGAACAAAAAAAAGTTGGTGAATAATGAGATTGTTCCTGCTGAAAGTTTTTCAGTCTTAGGCGAATGTTCTTTTGTGGACTCCCTTGATAATGAGATTGGTCCTGGTCAAAGTTCCTCTGCCTCGGGTGAATATTCTTTTAGGGACTCATCTGATGAAAATGAGGAATTGGATGATAGTAACGTTGATAATAGTAGAGATGTTGTCAACGTAGAAGCCACCAGCGAAATTTGGACAAAGAAAAAAAAACAGATATTGACAATGAAGCAACAAGTGTTCTTTTGGCATTAAGACAAAAATACTGGAAACAGTTTGATGACAAAAAAACAAACAAACGTAAATTGTGGAATTTGATTTCTCAGGAGTTAATAAAGAAAAATTTCAATGTTGGCGAAAATGGAGGGGAAAAGTGTCGTCAAAAATTTTGTAATTTGACAAAAATATATTACGCATACATGAAAAATCAAAAAACTACTGGAGAGGCCGGAAAGGATGAACCTCAATTTTTCCAACAAATGCATTCTATTTTAGGTTTGTACAATAATACATTAACATATAAAAAGCTATCTTCACAAATATACCTTTGTAATATGCAGGTACAAATTATATCACTATCTCAAGATCAAAAAAATCATGATTACTATACTTTTCTATAAATGAGTTAACTGGAAAATAAAAATTGCACAAACTTTTTGTAGGTACAAAGCATAAAGCACAGCCAGTACATTTAGAAGATTCCATTAAAGAGGAGGAGCAAACAGTGACGGCTGAAGCTGAAAATAGTGCAGTTAACAGATTTAGCAAGAAACCAAAGCTGAAGCCAACTTGCAATTCTGATAAAATGCTACAAGAACTACAGCGAGATCGGGACGTTAGGGAAAAAGAATTTGATTTCATTCAAAAATCTATGAAGACTGCTGAAAGGCAGCGGGACAGATTTTTACGTATATTAGAAAAAGCATATGGCGTTAAAGAAGACGATGCTGAATCTGAATCCAGCTAAACTTACTCATATTTACTTTTTGATAAGTATTATATTTTTTTATTTTGTAAGCATTTTATTTGTTTAAGTATTAGTAAGATTTCGAATAAAATTAATAAGAATATATTTTGTTTCTTTGCATTTTTAATGTATATATTTTAAATGTGGTGGGTACAATAAAAAAAAAACAATATGTAACTATTTATATTGCTATACATTTAAAACATTAAATAATTTATTAGCTATTAGATCTCTTTTAGCCCTGCCTTCTATATCATCTTGTTGATAAGTTCTCCGATTCATCTTATCCTTATCTTCATATTCTTCTTCCCAAAAATCATTATGTAAGATGCAAAAGTTGTGTAAAATGCAACCAGCTGTGCTTATCTCAATAGTTTTACAAATATTGTAGGTGTTTATAAATTGTAACCGCCTCCACCGTCCTTTTAGAAGGCCAAATGAATGTTCTATTTTAACTCTACTAGAACTTAGTCGATAATTATGGTTTTTTTGTTTGCGAGTTAAATTTTTTCCTTCATATGGTTTCATGAGCCATGTTTTTATGCCAAAAGCACTGTCTCCTATGAGATGATATTTCTGTTGATCTAAAAACACATGATCAGGTCCATGTCTCTCAATATTCATATATAGTTGTGAGTTTTCAAAAACCTAAAAATAATAAGGAAATAAAATATAAGCGAATAATTTTGTTATCAAGGTTCGCTAATTTTAAAATAAAATACAATTCCAAAATGTTTTAATACTTACACGTGAGTCATGTGCAGATCCAGGAAATCCAGAAAATATATAGGTAAATAAATTATGTGCCGTACATATTGCCATGATAGTAATGGAGTGCCTTCTGTATCGGTCTATGTAGTTATCCTGCTGATCAGAGGGAACTTTAATGAAAATATGGGTACCATCGATAGCACCTATTGTACCTAAAACAAAAAACTTGCTGCAGCACTTATGAACTGTGACTAAATTTGATTAAAAAATATTATGTCTCACTTGTTATTTTGTGTCTACTTATAAGTAATTACACACCTGGGTATGTTGTAAAGCCTCTACTTATTTCTAACATATCCTCTTCAGTTTTGGGAAATTTTATGTAGGCCTTCTTCAACTTAATAACAAAATACAACATTTTATTTATGATGTTCATTACTGTTGCAGAACACACATTAAACCTATTTGCTATATACACAAGACTATCTTGTGTTGCCATGTACCATAAAAAAATAAGTCCTTGTATTTTTATATCAATGGGTTTGTAACCACCTGTATATTTTTTCTTCAAGATATTTTTTTCATCACCCCGTTCAATGATGGTAATAAAAATTTGGAAAGTATGTTGTTCCATTCTAAATAATCTATAAAATTGCAAATTATTATAGCCATCTAACCACTTCTCAGGAGTCTTGAAACTGCTGTGTTCTAAAATCCTTTTTTTTATGATAATGTGCATATATGTGTCTTCTTACGCTATGGCCCATTATTGAACTATATATATTTCCAGAATTTTCTTCCAGTATGAATTCACTCGTTATTGCAACTAAATTCAAATTGTTCATGTTGCTTAATAATTCACTATTATCACAACAACACAAAACACACTTATTTTTTAGAATTATAATTAACCGTCAACCATCAACCATTGCTTTTAGGCGTTTTACAACGGTTAAGCGATTGGTTATCCCTTTTGACAGCAAAGGGTAAAACCAAGGGTTTACCATATGAAATAACCGGTAGATCGCCTAAAATCGACTTAGGTTAAGGACAGCTTAAAGTGACAGATGTTTGTTGCAGTGCATGCAAAGCCACTCTTAAAGTTCACTTATCTTAAGTGGTGCATTTTGTCGGCTTAAGTCAAAACTTAACCTATTATTTACAGTTTGTGTTTGTATTTGTCATAAAATAATTGAGTATTTGTACCTAAAAAAAATTAATTATCAAAAAATATGGAAGATATATTTAATGACGATCTGGATATACACGAAATTATTGATTTTGGTTTCCCGAGGCGTGTTAATGATCGACCTAATTATTTTGAAGACATGGACAATCTAACATTTTTTAAGAGATTTCGCTTATACAAGGAAACAGTTTTGCATATTTTAACTCTCATAGAGCATAATTTGGAATTGACAGGTAATTATTTTTAGCTTAAAAGTAGTATCTATCGGTTTGATAATAATCACTAATATGTTTTTTAGGAACAATAGTGTTAGTCCCATAAATCAGTTGCTATGTTGCTTACGATTCTTTGCCAGTTCAGGACATCTTAGTTCAGTAGCTGATTTTATGCATATGGATACAGGAACTGCCAGTAGAATTGTAGCAAAGGTCTCAAGAGAACTATCAATTCTTTATCCCCAATTTATAAAGATGCCATCTCCAAGAGAAATTATCCAAGAACAGGAGAAATTTAATAATATGTTTCAATTTCCACGGATAATTGGAGTAGTAGATGGAACGCATATTAAAATATCATCTCCAGGAGGGGATGATGCAGAGGTGTTCAGAAACAGAAAAACATATTTTTCCCTGAATGTCCAAGTTACTGGAAATGCCGACATGAAATTCATAGATGTTGTTGCTCGGTGGCCAGGATCAGCTCATGACGCAACAATTTTTGCTAATAGTAGATTAAGAGCAAGGTTTGAAGCAAGGGAATTTCCTAATAGTTTATTGATTGGTGATAGTGGTTATGGCTTAAAAGAGTATTTTATGACTCCCCTTGAAAACCCATTGACAAGAGGAGAACAAAGATACAACGAGTCATTAATTAGAACTCGTAACATAATTGAACGAATAATTGGAATATGGAAAAGAAGATTTCCAGTTATAGCATATGGAATTCGTTTGAAACTTGAAACAGTTATGGCAGTAATTGTAGCAACTGCAGTATTGCACAACATTGCCAGGGACATGAATGAGCCTGATCCACCTATACCTGATGAATTAAATTTAAATCAGTTAAATTATTTAATTAATGCTGGAAATATAAACGTATACCAACATCTGGATAATGAAGTAAATCTTACACAAAATGGACTCATTCAATATTTTAATGAATAATCTAATTGCTGTTTTTTAGTATTTAAAATTACATTTTTATAGATCAAAAGGTATTTTTTGTGTGTTAAAAATTGCATTTTTTAGATCAAAATCGATCCTTTTGTTATGTAGATGATTATAAAATAAAACAAAAAATTGTGAAGACTTATGTATTATATAAAAAAAAGTAGTAATGTTTTATTTGTGTACTTAATAAAAAACTATTATTAATGATTTTCCTGCAGCTGTCTTAATGTCTCTTTCTTTATTTCTACATCTAACTTCAATGCTTGCTTTCGCAGTTCTTGCTCTTCTTTTTCATTCTCTATATTCTGCTTTAATCTACCTTCTTCATAATTGCATATTATTAACCTTTTGTCCAGCAACATATTATATTTCTCAGCAATATGATTTGATGTTAAGGTTCTAACGACAGTTGCTGGTCGGCGCCTTCTTAAATTTTGACTATTTTTGAGACTTTTGTTGGGAGTCTCCTTATTACTCTTATCTGGATTATTTTGCTCGGAATTTTCAATCTCTACAAATGGTATCGTTTGTAAATCTAAAATTTTATAATTCTTCCAACCCTGTGTCATCTCGTTCTTTGCCTGAAACAACAGTAAACATTGAAAAATAAAATATATTTATCATTAAACAAAATTAAATTAAGGTTGGCAATCAATATCATTAATAATTAACCAGAGAATTGGGGTGTAAATTACTGTTTTAATATCAATCAATTTATGGTTGGCCGTGTTTATTATAGTTTATTAGAAAAAAAAAATTCTCTGTTACTTACAGTTTTCTTATTACTTCCACTTGATGCAGCATAAGACTTATTTTCATCGCCCCTCTCTAATTGATAGTCAACAGCTACTTCGCCAGAGTGATTATGACTATAACTACTCTACAATATAGAAATAAATATGGTTAGCCATTTTTGTTCAATTTCATTAGAAAAACAAAATGATACTTACAGTTGCAGAGTCAACGGCTGTTTCAATAGGGTCATTATGATTATTCTAAAATATAAGAACTATTTAATAAAGATTTAGGTATATTATAAAAAAAAAATTACCTTCATATCTCTGTCACCATCAAATGGGTTATCTAATCCATAAACAGTTTTGTGATTCATTAGCGATAAAAGCAGTTCATCGGATGTAGTACAAGTTTGTTTTGGAGGAGGAGGGCCACCTCCTGTTCGCATAAACTCCATTCTTTCGTTAGCAGTTCTTTTCCGCATGTCTTTTTTTTTATTTTCATAAAATTTTCTTAATGACTCCACAGATCTCTTCGTACAATTTGGAACAATACTATTAAATTCCCTACCGACTCTATCCCAAGCTGCATCCTTCTCATGAATCGTTACAGCATCAGTTTTTTTATTTTCTAATATATTTTTGTGTTTGGCCACAAGACTTATCAATAGGTCTTTTTCTGATTGGGAATAATTAGGTCCCCTATTTCGTTTTTCCTTTGAAACATCCATGAAAACACAGCCAAATCAAACTGTAACAAATAAACCAACCGTTTGCACAGAGAATAATTAATAATTATATCATCTGACAAATGTATTGTATGTCAAATATGCCAGAAAGAAAGAAATACCCTAAATTATTACAACGTTGTCATATAATTTCCAAGCTTTAGTAAGTTCGGTTTAAATCAATACCATGCAACAAATTTTTTATAAGTGTAGCTTAAAAATTTAAACTACCCTTAGCTAAGCCAACTTAACTGACATGTCGGTGCAAACGGCCATAATTGTTTAAATTTATATTATAAAATTTGTCACAAAACTAATTTAACATATTCAATTTAACTAATGTCAAATTTAATTATTATTAGCTCAACCATCATTGTAACTACGTGTCTTCCATCATATGTCAGTTGTCAAATGTCGTAAATCTCCACCATTTTCTCATTTAACTTCACCGTTGGATGAGGAAAGTGTCATAAGTGAAATATTTTTTTCTAAAAAAGTTATTATTTAATGATACCCCTTAAGCTTAGGCTTAAGGGTGTACACGAGCGGGACTCCGTCTATCCCTTTCGTACTGGGGATAGGCGGAGTAGAGCTATATTTCACATTTCCCAAAAGTAACACTTTCCACATGGTGCCTTAAGCACATGTGTGGAACTTCAAAATTTATTTCATTCGAAACCACCTTCATCAGATGGAGGCAGGCGAAATTCAAACTAGAACTGGATCCAACCTCGAATGAGGGAGGCAGTCTGTGCCAATTTTTACAATTTACTTAAATTTTAATTCAACATACTTATTTTTCTGTGGACACATAGAGGTAAGACACCTAGCATTTCTATAAAAAAACGTTTTGTTATACCTTAAATTATTATTGCAGATTGTACCTACTCACTTACAAAAAATTTTTTGCCTGATGATGACCTTTTAGGTCGAAAGCGCTTGCAGACTAATACATTTATGTGGTCGACAGACTTTGAGCTTTTTACTTCCCTTTAATTATATTGTCTTTTCTACACGATGTTACAAGGGCGGATTTAAGAAGAACTAAAAGAGTTGGGATGAGATTAGAATTTGTGTTTGCGCGGGCGAGATCGAAATCACATTTTTCTTAACAGATCAATATTAAAATTTCCAGAAACAACTATTTGAGAATTATCTCATACATTTTTTTAAGTCCAAGTGCTAAAACAATCTAAAACATTTATACAACTACTATTAGGTGACCTACACAACGATGCAATTAAATAATGTTTGTTCCCTAATATTACTATCACAGAAATAATCAAACAAATTTTTGGAATACAAAGCTTAAAATATTTTAAAATTTTCAGTTCACTTTGTACATAAATTAAAAACACCTCTTCTCAACTCTGTATTTTTTTTATTCTTCAATATGTATAATATTTTTGAATCATACATATCCTCAGTCAAACAAGTTTCAGAAAACACAGGCTTGGTTTTTTTTTAACAACACATAATTAGAGATTTCGTCAAAGTGGGCCACCAAGCTCCCAGCATTTAAATATAATGTATTTTTTGTAATTTTTAAATTGGATCTTGGAGACATAGCAAGGTAATGTTATCAGAACCATTAGTTTGTCACTTCTGATCCATGCAGAAGACCTCAAGTTCACCAAGAGCTGAAAAAGCTCGAATGATCAAATTCAAAGCAATGATAATTATACCTTAATTGAGTTTCTAAAGATTCAAGTATTAATGAACAGTACTACCTTGAGGTTGTTGCTCAACTTTGTGAAAAAAAAAGGGCCTGAATGATGGGAAAAAATCACGCATTCTTCATCAAGACAACACTCTGGCTCACTTCTCATTTTCTGTCAGAATGTTTCTAAGCAAATATAAACATCCTAGTGTTAGTTAATCCGCCTTATTTGCCTGACCTGGCACCGTGTGACTTTTATTTGTTTCCTAAAGTAAAATCTGAGTTAGAAGGAGCAAGATTTCAGATCATTGAGGCTCTGAAAGAAAAAAGCTGCATGCCTCGTCAAGAAGCTTATAGAAGAAGAAATCCAGCACTGTATTAATAATGAAAAAGTCACATGGAGCAGTGTATGGGTATCTATGTGGTATATATTGTAGGGGTTAATAATTAAATAATGTGTATAAATTTAAAATATTCAGTTTCAGTTGTTTTATAGGCCATTTGCTTTTAGCTTAGCTTTCAGAAATATTTAAGCCTTTTATAATTAAAAAACCCATATTTGTTTACAGATCTAGTCTTATTGCTAGTTTAGGAAGTGCAGTTGGTTCAACTCCAATTGATGTAGTTCGAGTAAGTAGTTTATATTGTAATATTAATAAGACATAACATTCAAGTGGTAATATTGATCTCTTTTCAAAAAATGTTTATAAAGTATGCTTTGATTGACAAAGATCAAATCCAAACTGACATTTACGGATGTCCCACAGGGTAATAACCTGGGACCATTATTATTTATATTATTTATCAATGATTTGAATGAATATGTCGAATGTTTCAAATTGTGCAGACAATAAGTGTAAAGTTTACTATAAGGAAATAAATAAAAACTAATTGTACGCTCTGACATACGTTATTTTTTCATGGCCTACTTTAGAAACATTTTTTTGTGTATCACTCACTCTATGTATGATGATAACACATGCTTTAGATTATATAGAAAACTTTTATTATTGATTTTCGAAAAAATTTATACCTGGTAAAAGTTAGTGCTTCGCCTAAAACTAAATATTAACAAAAATCTATCATGTATGAGGAAAATTAAAACATAAGTGCTCGTATTTTTAAATATACAGGGTGTCCCCCCGCCGAACGGAAATTCCAGATATTAAATTTGATTTTATATTAATTTTTTTAACCTTTAAAATGATTTTGCCTTCAAAGTATAAACTTTGCAGATTGACTAAGCTTTTTTTTTCATTTCTAATCGCTATGGGGATCAAATTTTTTCATCTTAACATTATTTATGTCATATTTGTAAACTGTAAGGCAAATTTTCCTTTAGTTTAATTATATAAATATTTATTCCCAGGAAATTACCAAACAAATCCCAATATTACCTAGAAAATAAATTTAATGAAAAATTGAACAAATTCTGTCTGCAGGGAGAATCGAACCCACCTACTTCTGTTCTACGCACAATCGCTCTTCCAATTATGCTATTGCAGACATAGTCAGAGATTTCCGAAATGTCAAGATAAATATAAGATTTCGATTGCAACTTTGCGATTCAGAGAGTGAAAGATTTAAGTTAAAATATAATTTAATAGATTTTTTTTGAAATTGAAAGATTTCAATTAATCCTGCTTCCTACTAATATATAAATGTGAAAGTTTGGATGTATGGATGAATGGATGGATGTTTATTGCTCAATCACGCAAGAACGGCCGCACGAATCTGGATGAAATTTGGCACAAATATAGATTATAGTCTGGAATAACACATATGCTACTTTTGATTCCCGAAAACTTTACGGTTCCCGTGGAAGATTTTTTGTTTTTCACAGACATGATTTTTTGCATAGTGGTAGTGAAACAGGAAAATTTTAAATAAAGCTACTAATCATAAATAAATAATGACATGTTTCTGGGTTTTTGGATTTTCACATTTTAAGGGGGGGAAACGGGGTTTAATGGTTTGTATGGAAGCATCGAATTTTTTTAAGGTAGGAACATGAAAATTGGAATTATAGCTACTCATCACAAATAAAATAATGGTGTGTTTCAGAGATTTTGGATTTTCATATTTTAAGGGAAAAGGGTGGAAAGGGGAGAAATGCGAGAAAGGAACTTGAAAATTGGAATTGTAGCTACTCATTATTAATAAATAATGACTTCAAGGTTTTTGGATTTTCACATTTTAAGAAGGGGGGCAATAGAGAATATCGTAACACTAAGTAAAACTAAATAATAAATAAAAATAATCAAAATGACTAAAAATTAATAAAAATAAATAAAAATTAATGGAAATTAATAAAAACTAACAAAAATTAATAAAAATAAATAAAAATTAATCAAAATTGCTAAAAATTAATAAAACGAATAAAAATTATTAAAAAAAATTGCTTGGTATGACATGAAAAAATGTCTGTTTTGACTTGTAATAATTGAGATTTGAGAAATTCCAGCAATGCAGGATCCGGTCAGCTAGTTTTAAATAATGAAAGATTCTGTTTACCTTGTTGCGTACATTTAAAACTTAGTGCATTTAGACGACTGGAGGAAGTGACCGTACGGTTGCTTGTTTTCCTCAGAACAATTGAACATTTTCTGAAACGCGAGGTTGGATTCGATATCTCATATTTATGAATGTGAGCAATCATGAAAATTAATAAAAAAAAAAAGCATCGTACTCGGCTTACAGATGTTAATTTAGAAAACACTGCGCCTATGTACTAGTGATATTGACCCCAATACTGTCGAGCAAGACTAACCCTGTTCTTTATTTATTACCGTACCCGCGACAGGAAGTCTAGCGCTGGCTATATCGAGACATATTTCTAGACTCGAGAAACAGCAGTCTGTCGCGTGAAGGATAATTTCCAGAACTTCTAAACTGAGCTTCCAGTCGAGAGTGTTACATTTCTATATAAATAGCGCGTAAAGTTTTAATAAAAGTGTTGGACAGTAAAGACAAATTGTAATAAATAAATTAGAATTGTGAGTTGTAATAGTCCCTAAATTTTAAATAAATTAGTTAATACGTTATAAATAAATAATTTTTAAATTAAACAATTGTGACAATAATGATTATCTTCTTTCTAAGCTTCAAAATCAAGTCTCATTAATTTTCATTTGATTTTTCTATCTTTTTTTATTAACTTACTTTTTATATATTTAATTGTGCATAATCATTATGCTATTATAATTAATAAATAAAAATATGTGTGAATTTTTGTTGCTTTTTTATTCATTATTATCTACTTATTTCTTGCCTACTCCCCGCGACCTTATTAAGTCCCGAAATTATGCCTTCAGCTAAGCAAAGGTTGTCCATACCTGTTTAAATTTGGGGGAATTATCGATGTCTAAAGTGTCCCGATTTTGTCTCGCTTAGGTTCGATTTAAAAAAAAAATATCTAAATATTTCATTTAAGACGTCTAAAAATACAATTTTTGAGAGACCAGGGAGCTATTTTCAAAAACTCAAGAGAGAGTGATTTCTCTCAAGATTTTCATGAAAAATATCTCACGTCAACTTAAAAATAGTATTTACAAAATCGGTAAGAAATCACTGACTTTCTCTCGGTTTATTTCAAGAGAATCAAAATTCTCCCCTCGATTTTCAAGAATTTTAATTCTTACTAGCTTTAAAAATACGGTTTTCTCGTTAGCGCATGAAATTTCTGATACAAATCTTGAAAAAATTAAGTTCTCTCTAGTTTGAAAATATCTTCTCAGCATTATTTTCTACCTTGCCCCATCCCTTCATGTTTTCGATTTACCCTCTTTCTACTTTTTAAAATATAGTTACTTTACTGATATCGCAACGTTTGATAATATCAATGGCAACGTCGGTACATCTTAAAACGTTTTTTATTTTGTAAATGTGAAGTTTGTATGATGGTGTTCATAGATAGATTGCCGATGTTGAAATCTGGTTGAACGTAAATACAAAACAAATGTCGATACCGATACTGCTTAAAAGGAATCAATATCTATTGAGAATTGAAGAAAATATATTGAGTACAAAATGTACTCGATACTACTTAAAAGTATCGATGCTTTCTAAGTTTGCATATATTGAAATGTGACCGGATGAGATGAAGTAAGCAAGTCGTTTATGTAAAAGAAAATATGAGTGGACCTAATACTGATCCTTGGGGAACACACCTCGATTCATGCATGGTTGTGTAGTTATGAAAATTTTTATTGTCAAAATTATCTCTAACAGTATGTTACTAGCTATGGTTGAAAAATAGCAAAACAATTAGTTACAGTTTTTTTGTCAGATATTAATATGTCGTCAAGATTGATCTGTATTGACTTTATAGATGTGCTTTTGCCGGTTATAGAGTGTACTGTATTCCATATAATTTTTTGTTTTTGTTGAGGATTTTTGTTTTCTAATAATTTTTGATAATGATCCTTTTTAGTTAAATTTATTAACTGAACATAAACTTTTTTTTAATTTCTAATTTCTTTACAATTCTGTATAATTATGTATGTTTTTGTTTACCCATTGCCTTGATGTATTGTTTTTCATTTTTGTTCTGACAAGGGGACGAGTTACTAAATGATTCTAAAGAATGTATCATAAGCATCATTCAAAAGTACTGTCATACACGGTCGAAAAATCTTCAATATTTATTTATTTATGCATTAAGTTTATAAAAGAAAGATCTCTAAAAGTTACTATTTCATAGTTAATTTTGCTTTGTACGCATGCGATGTCTCCAAGCATAACATCCAAGCCAAAATGATCACCTACACAGTTTCAATATACAGGGTGTACCAATAAAAACTCCCAGGCCGGATATTTTGGTAAGTAATAGAGATATTTTAATTCTGTAAAAGCCAGTTCACAGAGCACTAAGAGAGCTTCAGTTTTAGATATAAATTGATTTTAAATAAGTCAATATGTAGATGGCGCTGCGCTCAATAATTTCTTTTCGATGGGAGGATCTTTCTTGTGTAGCGCATCTTGTAAAAAATACATTTTTAAGCAGATTTTGTTCTATGAACTAATTCGACAAATCGAGCCATTTTTGATATACAGAGTGGGTCACCTAAAACAGTTTCATCCTGTTTTTCAGCATTAATCATTGGATTTTATGAAAATGCTAAAACAGGTCGATTTTTATTCCAAATTAAAAACATTTTTAAAATGCAGACATCTGTCATGTGTCAACCCCCACCCTTGTACTTCTCCAGATCTTAATTTTAAATAGGTAATGTACCATGTATGGCACATCATTGAAAAGGTAATTTAATGGGGAATCCATAAATATTTCTATACATTGTGTTACTTAAATTTTATCGCCCTCTAGCGGGATAAAAAATTACTACGTATTATAGAGTGTGATACTACAATGTGTAGTACATCATTAGAAAGGTAATTTTATGGGGAATTTAAAAATATGACTGTTCATTGAAATACTTTTAATTGTACCGCCCTCTATCGGGATAAAAAACTACGTATTTTAAAGTGTGACACCTTATTTGAAAGCAAATTTAATTACTAATTCAGTGTACCACATAACATTAATTAATAACATAATATTAATATAAATATCCATATTGCAGTTTCAATAGTTTGAAAATTAGTCATGCATTATTTTAAACCTTATTGCTAACTTTATTTTGTTGCAAGTGCAATATGGAAATATTTATATTAATATTATGTGGTGCATTGAATCAGTAATTAAATTAGCTTTTAAATGAAGTGTCACACTTTATAATACGTTACAGATTTTTTTATCCCGATAGAGGGCGCTAAAATTAAAAGTATCGCAATAAACTGTCATATTTCTGACTTCCCCATAAAATTACCTTTTTAATGATGTACCGTACATGGTACATTCCTTATTTAAAATTAAGGGATTGGAGAAGTGGAAGGGAGGGGGTTGACACATGACAGATGTCTGTATTGTAAAAATGTATTTAATTTGGAATAAAAATCGACCTGTTTTAGCATTTTCTAAAAATCCAATGATTAATATCGAAAAACAGGATGAAACTGTTTTGAGTGACCCACTCTGTATATCAAAAATGGCTAGATTTATCGAATTAGTTCATAGAACAAAATTTGATTAAAAATGCATTTTTTACAAGATGCGCTACATAAGAAAGATCCTCCCATCGAAAAAAAAATATTGAGCGCAGCGCCATCTACATATTGACCTATTTAAAATCAATTTATATCTAAAACTGAAGCTCTCTTGGCGCTCTATGAACTGGCTTTTACAGAATTAAAATATCTCTATTACTTACCAAAATATCCGGCCTGGGAGTTTTTATTGGTACACCCTGTATATGGGAAAATTTGTTAAAAAATAGTATATTTTAGATTTAGTAATGCGGTTGTTTTTATCTATACATACCCGCGTGGGGTCGTGATTCTGTCAAATTAGGATAAAACTCTGAATAAGATCAGTAAGGAGATGTTTATTATAAGAAACTGTTAGAAAGCCAATGTTAAAATATCCACATAAAAATACAGCATCATAAAAAACAACAATCCGATTTAAAATATATGACAATTTTTTAATAAAAAGTTCAATATTTCCAGAGGGAGATCTGTAGACGTTTATAATGATATAGTTTATATTCTTTACAGAAAACGATATAGCACAGCTTTCGAAATGTATTTCTTCTGATAGGCTATTTATAAAATTTACTGTCTTATATGTAATGGTTTCTTTTATTAAAATAAGTGATCCACCATGAATTTTGTTGCTTCTAACGTATGAATCGGCGATAATGTAATCTTTAAAGTTAATAAAAGGCAACGAGGTATTATTACACCAACATTCAGTTATACAAAGAATGTCAGAAATATATTGACTCAGTAAAAGTTCAATTCGATTTGTTTTGTTAACAATAGAGTGACTATTTACATTTATAATTCTAACATTATTACAGATGATGTTAGCAGCTGACATACTTACAAGTTTATTCCTATTATTACAACCTTTATCGTATTTATTTGATTTATTATGGCTTGACCAATGGCTGTTGTGGTTTGTTCTGAAAACTTTGTGAATGTCAAAGTTTTGTCATACATTTTTTTCATTGTTTTATTTTTTATTTTTAAATTAGTTATTTTATAACCTACGGAGTTATTAATATTTAAATAAGCAAAATTATTTTTTTTTATACCAATCACAGCATATAAAAATTAGTTTTTAATATTTGTTTAAAATTCTTTTTTATTAGAGGAACTGATAAAAATATTACATTTGTTTGAGTACATTTTTTTATTTTAGAATTTAATGACTTAAAACTAGGATACTTGTTTTTTGTAATGTCGTTGCATCCTCCTAAGACAATTACATGATCATTTGAAATAAAGCTGTTGGTTAAATTTTCAATGTCTTCCACAATTTTATTCATTTGAGCTTCAGGTTTGATGATCATTTCTACCAAAGCATCTTCTTTATTAAAACGTTTTCTTATTTCTACATCCAGACCTCTACCTCTTTCATCAGTTAATATAAGTATCTTTTTTTTGCTAAGTTTGCCATTATTGATTTGAGTATGTGTTTGTTTTCCATACATTTTAATACCAACCTGCAGTTTATTTAATTGCAAATTGTAGACTTTATTACCTTCCGATAGTCTTTGAATCGTTTCTGTCAATTCTTCATTTTTAATTTTCATTTCGTTTGACTCACTAATCATCAAAATATTTTTACCTTTCGCACATTTATTAGAACTTGCTAATTCGTCTAGTTTCTCTAAAACCTTGATTGTTGTTACCATTTTTTTTACTTAAGTCGTTAATTCTATTATATTTGTTTGTAATCTATTGCCGCGTTTGAGAATCCACATCGGACACATCTGTCCCATTACATTTACGTATACTGAATCACGTGATCAAAGATTTTTTACATCTCAGATGCATCCGATGTGGATTCTCAAACGCGGCACTAATATATAAAAATTTCGTGTCACGATGTATGTTCGATAAACTCCGAAACTACTGAACGGATTTTGATAAAATTTGGTAACTATCTATAATTTGGTCCAATTTAAAAGATAGGATAGTTTTTATCTCAATTATTGACCTCAATATTTGTTATTGCAAATTAAATGTTTATTATACGACAATTATTAGGCATTCCAACGACCTGTCAAACAATATCTGACAGCGGGAAGTGTTAGTAAATTTAAAGGGGTTGCGACATAACCTTCCATCTTGGACGCTATTTTTATTTGAAATAATAGTCGCCGAGCCTGCCAATTTATAGAAAAAAAGCGATTTTTTTAAAAATAATATTTTCATTGTGTTCAACATAAAATATTTAAATTTCATCCCATTATTTATGATTTCATATAATGCAGATAGACTACATCGTATGTCGCAACCCTTTAAACATACCAAACCTTAGCATCGCGTATGGAATGCCTATCTCTAGGAATGCCTAAATATTGTGTATTTATTGGTTAGTTTTATGAATTCCTAATAGATGACGGTGTAAGGTGAAGAAATTGCGGCTACTCATAAATGTAAATAATGACGTATTTCAAGGTTTTTGGATTTTTGCATTTAAAAGAGGGGGGCATGGGAAGTATCATAAAAACCCTACTACTACATAAATGCGAAAGTTTGGAGAAAGGGGGAAATAGAGGAAATAGGGAAAGGGGGAAAGTGAAAAAATAGGGAGAATGGGGAAGAGGGATGAAAGTATCGATTTTTTAAAGGTGAGAACATGAAAGTTGGAATTGTAACTACTCATATAATGACGTATTTAAAGGTTTTGGATTTTCACATTTTAAGGAGGAGGGGAATAAATAAAAATAAAACAAATAAAAAATTAAATAAATGTAAATAATAAATAAAAATAAATAAAATTAATAACAATTAATAAAAATTATTAAAAATAATTAAAAATAATAAAAATTAATAAAAAATAATAAACATTAATAAAAAAATAATAAAAATCAATAAAAATTAATAAAAATTATTAAAAATTGTTGGTTGTTATACAAAAATAATATTCTGTTTGTTTAGTATATGGAGAATGGCCTTCTAGCAAACTGAGTCAGTTATTCTTCATATTACTGTCAATAATAAATATGTGTATTTTTAAGACCGATTGAAACCAATAACACCCAGTAAAGATTAGTTATATAATAGCACTCGACTAAGCATCATTATAATTACGGCTCTTTTAATAAATGAACTTTAAAGGATATTCACTGTGTGTTTAATATAAGGACCTACCATACCTTCCAACAAAAATTAATAATTTTTTTTCAAGTATCGCATGAAAAAAATTCTCACGAGTAACAAAAACTGTTATTCACTTTTAATAATTGAGAATTGAGAAATTCCAGCTAAGCGGGATCGGATCAGCTAGTTTTTCTATAAAATTATTTTTTTCCATGAGTAAATTTTCAAATTCTTCAATTTGACTGTTTGATTTTTGCAAATTACGTTTCAGGATATTAATTTCGTCCACCTGATTTGCCGGTTCTTTGTCTAAGGTCCGTATTGATAAACAAAACTCTGCTGAGTCGGACTTGGGTAAGTCGTCCTTGAACGAAAATCGAAGTTCGGTTATATCGCGTGAATTTAGAGATGGGTAGTAACAAATACGTAAATGTACATAACAGTTACAGATTTGCTAATATCCATGTCTAAATTCCAATCTAACACCAGAACCACTTAGAACTTTAGAGACGTTTGTAACCGAACTTCGATTTTAGTTCAAGGACGATTTATCCAAGTCCGACTCAGGTAAGTTCTGTTTATAAATACGGACCTAACTTTTGTTAACCTTTTAGTATAACTCTCTTTTTCTTCTAATTCTTTCTGTAGATTAATGATTTCTTCTATATATCGGTTTTCTTTAGCTTCTTCCTCTCTACCTCAAAATTATTTTCTTCTTTGGGTGCTTTTTCCTGACATACAATTGAACAGTAGATTTTATGGGCACCAAGTCTCATTACATTATTTTTCCTCTCTAGACAACTCGAATGAACTACTTCAAAACAGATAATGCAACAAAAGTTTAGAAACGGTTTAGCTTTACAACAAGTAAAAGTACATTCCATTTGCCATAAAATTGGTCGATTTAAATTTCCAGTTAAAATATCTAGTACGCCACTGGACGATGACAATAATTAACGATTTATTAGTTTCATTTATCTTAAAGTTTTTTCACTGCGGCAATGAATTATCTTTGATGGTTTTTTTACACAAAAGTATTTATTTTTATCATTAATTTTAAGTATCAAAGTGTTTGTTTCAAACACAACTTTTCGCTAAAATTATTATTTCACATTAAAGATTAGAACGTAAGCTTAACTTTGATATAAAATTTATTCTTTTCTGTTAATTTTTTTTACCGAAATTTGGTTTAAAATATAGAGTACATGTTTTCCGACCCTACACTTATGAAGCATCTTCGGATTATGGTAATTTAAGTTTAATATCTGGCGTTTTCATTTGGTAGTAGTGTTCTGTACATCTTGCATATTTATAAATAACTTGCACTCCCAAATATTGACATAATTAGTTTGTAACTACATTAATGATTGGCGACTAAATAAGATTATCATGCTTTTAATTTTAGACCCGTCTTATGAACCAAAGAAAACTGAAACGCAGCGGAGGACCTTTACCGCCATTCGTTTACGAAGGAACGCTCGATTGTTTCGTACAAACGTACAGAAACGAAGGATTTTGGGCGTTTTATAGAGGATTTGTACCGACGTTATTTCGAATGGGCCCTTGGAATATAATATTCTTTTTAACTTATGAACAATTAAAGAAGTTTTATTAAATACTTAAAACTACTTGTGCACCTTTAGGCCAGTAGTTGGCTGTTTTACTTGTTAGATTATATTGCACCTATTTATTATTTTTTATTCTTTAATGTAATTTCTAAGCGTTACAAAATAAATATGTCTAAATATGTTAAAATTTGTTTGTTTTTTTTTTTATTCCATTAGTTAACAGAAAAATATTTACTCTAGATAAAGTAGAGGAAAACAATTACAACCAATAAGAAGCTAATAAAATCACGTTTTATTAGACTTGTATGTCGATGCTTCAAAGGTAAAAGTCATAAGAGACAAATTTAGCAAATTCACGACAAACATAATTTTTTTGAGTGAAATGAGCTGCTTTGTAGCTTCCTTCTCTATTCTCGTAAGTCGACCAGAAAACAAATTAAGGCGATATTTTTCCGTAATTCAAATAATAAAGATATTGTTGCTTAAGCTGCATTAACTTGAATGATTTATCTCTGATCATAGCACTTATCCCTGCGTATTAGCAAGAAATGTACAATTAATAAACGTAAATGAGTTTAAACATTTTTTATTCGTCTATATAGCAGGGATGGCCAACAAGTCGATCATGATCGACCGGTCAATTTTGGTCGATCGTTTGCAATATCTGGGGTGGAATTCCGTGTACCATGGAATTTGAAGCGATTGTAGAAAACAAAACTTTCTAGAAATAGTTTAATTCATTCCCAGGTTTCAAGGTCATACATTCCTAGAATTCTAACAGTCACCCAGCACAATACATTGTGACTTATGTGTTACACAGTGTTGCCAACCAATATTAACAGAAATTTCCAATTTTCCCACACATAATTTTATGATTCCCACGATCTTTTTTCATTTGAAATCATTGGATTTTACTCTTGTAGAATGTACATAAATTTAATCGAAAAATCGAATTTTTTAGGTACCGTATGTATGGAATGCTGCTATCAAAGTTGAGTCTGGAAATTTATTTTCTTAATGAGCCTATATATCTAACATTTAAAAAATAAAAAAATAGTTTTGAACATATATTTTTCTTATCTGCCCATACTTTGCTAGAATGTACCTTATACTGAAACCATAGAAATAATATAGAAGACCAATATAAACATAACATTTAAGCAGAAATTGAAACCTACTGTGCATAAAAACGCGTCTCTGCGCCTGACATCGCAAAATAGTGTGTCTAGAAGTTTGCGCAATATGCATGACTTGTCCCTGTAGTATTGCCAAATATATTAAACATACCTAACAGAAAAGAATTTTAAATTAATTAATTTTTAAATTATATGATTTAAACAGTTTATATCTACGAAATATCGCCACAAAATAACTTATACACATTTAAATAATCAACTAATAATATTTATGTGTAATTACATTCCCAAAAATATATACAAATACCGTATTAATGTATTAATACCGTATTTTTAATGTTCAATAAGCGATTCACCTACAAATTCAATATTGACCTGGCAATAGCACTAAAATCCGGTGTTTCAAGGCTATATGACGCTGCCCTTACAGGACCGTTTGTAGTTTATTATTTATGCCGCGTTTGAGAATCCACATCGGATGCATCTGAGATGTAGTAAGTAGTAAATCTTTGATCACGTGATTCAGTATACGTAAATGTAATGGGACAGATGTGTCCGATGTGGATAAAAAACGCTCGAGATGTAAAAAATGCATCCGATGTGGATTCTCAAACGCGGCATTAATTACACAATGAAAGTGGCATTTTATTTTTAGTTTTGTGTAGTGTTTAGTCAAATCCTAGGTACAATAAAAGACATTTTTACATTGGCTAATGAAAATGTAATCAATGTATTAGGCAGCTGTTATATTTATTACAAGATTTATGTCTGCAAATCTAAACCTACCTAAGAATTATAATTATGTAAATAAAGAGCTGTATATTTATATACAGGCTGCCCAGCGACGGGGAGACATTATCGATATCGGTTTTAAGGCATTTTAAAACATAAACCCGATCTCAACAATCTTAGGAACTCTTCTGTCACTCGATATTTTAATCGGTACTTCCTCTTCGCTTTTTGGCTGGCACAACAATTATTTACATTTCTTCATTCCTTACCGCGTTCGAACCAGTAAGGTTTAAAGAAATTTAAAAAAAACCTACTTTAAAAATAAAGATGTTAATGATTTTCTTATGGATCCCATCTTCAGATCTTGACTTAATGTATATAAAACTGTTTCCTTTTCTAACAAAAATAATCCTAGAAATCGGGCAACGTGGTAAAGAATTATCGCTCAACATACATAAAAAAATATTTCAACGAATTGAGAATATCCTACCATTTTGAAGTATGTTAAAAAAAAATTGTTAATAAAGTGAAAAGTAGGGCATGAACATATATTATAAAGTATATAAAATGATAGATAAATCCAGTTTAGAAGGTATTATAAATAAACTGTGGAAATATCGAGAATCTCGATTTTGAATCGGAAAAATATTCTACGCAATTTAGTATGAAAGCTGATCAAAATGAAACACATGAACGACAAACTGTTATTGACAACTTTCTTCAAACGTTTTCTATTTTTCCGAAAACTAACTAGATAGTTCGAAAATCATTTCCTTCGTTAAAACGCGTCTTGTTCCGAAAAAGGTACACGCCTGCCAACATTCATCGTTCATTAAAAAAGTGGTAGATACAAAACGCTTCGTATTGTAAGGCCAAAATATATTTAGAAATCGAAATAGTCATATAAACAAAAAAATCATATGAGTGAGATAACTACCAATTTAATGATTTACAAGTTTATTCCTATTATTTATAAAATAGGTTTGCAATGTGCTGGTGTGGAATGTTATCATCGACTAAAAACTTTAAATCTTTGTATTAAATTGATCGAAAACAAACTATAAATTGGTTTAGGCTATATAGAATGTTTCTAGTAAGCAGCAACTAATTTTTATTATGGAACCGAAAGACCCTTTTAAAAAGGTTCAAAATTAAAATAAAATATGTACCAAGTAAATGTAGTAGTATTTTTTAATTTATATTGAAAATGGTAACATGAAAGGTTTTCTGTCTAACGACTCATAGTCTCGGCTGACAAAATGTAAAAAAATATCGAACATAATATTCCTGGGCCCTATTTTGCACTCCCCAGATTAAATTTAGTTGTAGCAAATGATATTATCAAATAAGATGTCAAATCACAAGAAAAATCTCGTGACTACAGTACTAATGATTGCCTGTTTGGAAAAGTATCTTTGTTTGTAAATATTTATATGCATAGTTATATTTAAATGCGCGAGTGTAATGTTAAGTATAAACAAAATCCGCCCATTATGTATATACGTTTAGTTACCGACCCTAGTAGATAGGCAATTTGTTATTGTTTTAAGTTTTACCGTAGGGAGAGAGAAAATCAATATTAGCATAAATGGTCCAGCTCCTTTCTGGTTACGTAGGTACCTAAAAAGTATTTTGGTTAAGTAATTAATTATTGTAACAGTGATTTTCTTGTGATAGTACCTAATTTAGATTGTGGATTAAAGTTTTTGTATATAATTTCGCTGTTTAATAATAAACGTAGTCAAAACCGGAGCACGTGGTTTTTCTGGAAAGTATTTTTAAAATCACAAGCAAAATCTCATGACTACTGTAATAATGATTGCCGAAAATTAACTAATTCATATTTTATGCCATATCTTTCTTAATAAGGACTGTCAGAACCATATTTACCTTAACTTGAAATTTTTTTAATCGTTTTTTGTATAGAATCATCTCTAAAAATGTATGATTGAAATATCGTGCGAACTATTTGTTCGATCAATAAAAAACTTGCACCGGTCCTGTTCGCGCCAGCACCGTTATACGCATGAGCTCCGGCACACTATTTTCTCCTTATGGTTTCATTTTTGATATATGGAATCGGCTTTCTATACTATTTCTATGACTGAAACACAGTGTGTAAACACACCCCTTCTTCCCCCTTTTAGACTACGCCTATGACAAGTCGATCGCCACACACTTTAAGATAAAAAGTAAGATCTTATTTTCAGAAAAAGATGACCACCCCTGGCTTATAGGATCAATAATGCAGTCAAAATCATTTACCTTAATTTCTGCCATTCAATAAAGCTAAAATGATTGAAACGTTTTAGGCTGTTTTTTTAAATAATCATTATATGGGAGGTTAATGTTTTATTGTATTGCTTATATTTAATTTTAAGGAGTTAAATCAGTTTTCCCTAAGGCTTAATTTCACTGTTAAGATGGTTCGTTTTACTTCAATGCTGTTAAGGTAGTTAAAATATTTTACCTAGTTGTTATTTGATTAAATTTCCAAATTTGTCTTATCGTAAATAATTTGTGCAAATTTGCATTCTTAAACTTGTTTTTTTTGTTTGGTCAAGTCAATTAAAAAAAATGTATGTGTCCAACACATAACTTTCTTGACTAGTTATTACAGGCTTTTTCCGGTTATTTTGTACTTACAACTTATTGTACCACCCCTATAAATGTTTAGAGTTTTAGCACAACTCAGATTTTCAAAGGGCCAGATTTGAAAAACCGTAACTGTACGAGGGCCGCTAAGAGATACCTGAGCTTCATTTATAAACCCACTCCTATGGTCGAGCTTCTAAAAAAAAGTCTTATAAGGACAGCGTCTCCTAGGAATTTCTGAACAAAATTATGTCAATTTAGATTCAATCAAGGAGGTGCTGTTACCTACCGACTAGAGATTGAATTAGTGCAAACTATTACAGAAATCTTTAAGTAACTATAAATATCGACCGACTAGCTATTAGGGGATATTGTATTATATTGTATTATAAACCGGTTTTTAGTAGACTGAGTTCGAAGGATCATAATAATAGTCCTGAACATAAAATCTATTTTTCAATAATTGCCGGGATTTTACCAAATAAAAAAAAATATTTCGCGATTGTGAAAACGGTCCAATCGTTTCATATGCCATTTATAATATTATAAAAATGTTAACTCTAGGACTCATTTTGGAGTATGAG